GAGAGGAAAGGAGAGGGATAGAGAGTTAGAAACATCGATGAGAGAGAAACATCGATCAGCTGCCTCCTGCACACCGCCCACTGGGGATGTGCCCACAATTAAGATACATGCCCTTGACCGGAATCAAACCAGGGACCTTTCAGTCCACAGGCAGATGCTCTATCCACTGAGCCAAACCGGTTAGGGCTATTTCTTCTTTTTATAATAGTTCCTCTAGCATTTCTTGCATTGCTGGCTTTTTAGTGATAAACTTCCTTAGCCCTTTTTTTGTCTGCAAAGCTCCTGATTTCCCCTTCAATTTTGAATGATGACCTTGCTGGATAGCGTATTCTTGGATTCAGTCCCTTGCTTTGCATCACTTTGTATACTTCATTCCATTCTCTTATTGCCTGATGTGTTTCTGTTGAGAAATCAGTTGATAGTCTAATAGGAGATCCCTTGTAGGTAACAATCTTTCTCTCTCTTACAGCTTTTAAGATTCTCTCTTTGTCATTAATGTTTGCCATTGTAATTACGACATGTCTTGGTGTGGGTCTTTTTGGGTTCATCTTGTTTGGGACTCTCTGAGCTTATGTGACTTTTTTTCTTCCCCAAATCAAGGAAGTTTTCTGTCAGTATTTCTTCAAATAGGTTTTCTAATCCTTGCTCCTCTTCTTGTCCTTCTCGCACCCCTATTATTCATATGTTCTTCATTTCATATTGTCCCAAAGCTCCATTAGGCTCTCCTGCTTTCTAATTTTTTCTCCAATTGCTGTTCAGATTGGTGTTTTCTGCTCTGTATTCTAACTCACTAATTCAGTCCTCCTCTTCTTCTAATATACTGTTGAAACCTTCCATTGTGTTTTTTATTGTAGCTATATCATTCTTGATTTCCTCTCCTTTCTTACATAAGTTGTTGATTTTCTTATCTAGCCAGCTTAGGAACTGTATGATCCTTATTCTGAATTTTTTTTTTCTGACATATTGCAGCCTCTGTTTCATTTAGTTACTTTATTGGCAATCCCCTCCCACCACCCCTTTCCTTTCCTTTGGCGGTTGTTTCTTTGTCTCCGCATTTTTGCTCTCACCAAAGGGTTCAGGCACCAAGTTGCATGAGGCCTATGGCCGAAGCGGCAGGCTTGGCAGGCGGGGCACGCTCCAAGACTCACTGAAGGATCCAGTTGCCAAATTGTGCAGGGCCTGTGG